TCTTTTACCTTTTCATGTGGATTCCATTAAGAGAGCCTGGTATCCATTCATCTACTGAAGGGCATCTAAATTGCCTCCACAGTTTAGCTATTGTGAGTTGTGTTGCTATACACATTGATGTGGCTGTGTCCCTATAGTAAAAATGTGGCAGATATACACAATGGAATTCTACTTAGCAATAAAAGAGAATAAAATCAAGGCATTTGCAGGTAAATGGATGGCTTTGGAGAAGATAATACTATGTAAAGTAAGCCAATCCCCCCCCACCCCCAAAAAAACCAAACAAATGCTGAATGTTTTCTCTGATATAAGGAGGCTGATTCCTAGTGGGGTAGGGAGGGGGGGCATGGGAGGAATAGATGAACTCTAGATAGGGCAGAGGGGTGGGAGGGGAAAAAGGGGGCAGGGGGTTAGCAAGGATGGTGGAATGTGATAGACATCATTATCCAAAGTATGTGTATGAAGACACGAATTGGTGTCAACATACTTTATATACAACCAGAGATATGAAAAATTGTGCTGTATATGTATAATAAGAATTGTAATGCATTCCACTGTCATTTTTAAAAAAATTCGATAAAAAATAATTTAAAAAAAAAAAAGAGTGTGTGCCTAATAAAGACACCCAAGTCAGAAAGCAGGCAGAGCTTTGTCTACCCAGGATGCTTTTGCTCTGAACAGGGTGTTTCTTTTCTCTAAGCTTTCTGGCATGCTTGCTCAGAAAGAGCTGTGGGCTACAGTTGACATCACCTAGTAGAGGTGGCAGGAACACCATTTACATAAGTTAGTGGATAAGGATAAGTAGAAAACTCAGAATATGAGGTTGAAGAGAAAAACATGCTGAAACAGCAATATCTCCCTAGTATACAGTGTATTCTCCTAAGAGGTGTTAAATAAATGAAAAAATAGTGTCTGTAGCTATAGGAATTTCATACTTGCTCATACTCTCTTAACATTTGCTCATATCTCAATATTTCTAACAACTAATACAGTTGGTACATGTAAATCTCCCCCCCTCCACTAGATATGAGAACCTACACTCTCAGAATCCTGGACTTGGTTGAATTTGAATAACTGGGCATTTTCAGTATGTATGCCAACCCATAAAATAGATACTAATAATGTTAATTTATACAAGTATACATATTTTGAGTTAATGACTCAAAGATTTTAACAAGTGGGAACATGTGACCTCTCACTGAAATGTCAATTGTATATATATTAATTTTCTTCTGCTGAACCAAACTGGGGAAAAAATGTCTCAAAAATTCGCCAAGGAAAAGAAACTTGTGCCTTTCTGGGTTAACTCAGCCAATGTAGAAAACTCCAAGTAACACTGCATGCTAATTTTAATTAACATAAATCATAAATTATGATGTTGTGGTTGTATTTGAATTTCCATTATTCTAAGCAGATCAGAAAACTGTATGACTCAATTATTTTAAGAAAACTCATGGATTTGGTACATGTGAGCTTGATAATTCTATTTTTACAACCAACTGTTTGATACCAGAAAATAACTTTGTACAGAGCTGTTGATTTAAAATTCAAAAAGTGTATGTGGGAAAATAACTGTGTAGATCTTTTAATTAGACTGAAAGTAAATTATATTTTAATCAATAATGACAGGTTTCAACAGCTAAATTAAGTTTAGAAACACAAATGAAGAAAAAGGAAAGCTATCCTTGCATCTTCCTCAGCTTATTCTGTTTCTCCCATCTCAATAACTGATGTTATGGTCTGAGTGTTTCATGTTACCCACATTTCACATGTTGAACCCCCCAATGTGACGGCATCTGGAGGTGGAAATGTTTGGGAGGTGATTAGTGTCCTTATAAAAGATCTCAGAGATCCTTTACCCCTCTGCCTGTGAAGAAAGCAAAAGATGTGCCTGTATGAAATAGGAAGAGTGGTCTCATCAGACACCAAATTTGCAACACCCTGATCATGAAATTCCTAGGCTTCAGAACCATGAGAAATAAATTTGAATTTAAAACCACCCAGTCTATATTTTTGTTATAGTAGCCCCAACAGACTTACACAAATGGTAATTCTTAACAGTAGTTAAAGATAAAAACATGCATTGATACCTGATGCTTCCCTTTTACATTCAAACCTTGAGTATACTTTCTTGGCTCTATCTCTAGAATATACCTAGAGTGTGCCAGTTCTTACCAGTATCACTGCTCACACTCATCTTTGCTAGTCTGGATCATTACAACAGTATTTAGTATGAAAGTGTTTATTCCTTCAGTTTTTTATCCATCCATCCATTAGATACAACCACAAATGGAACCACCATCTATATCAGGTAGTGTTTTGGGTACTTCAGCCACAGGGACTTACTCTTATGGTCTTTACAAAAGGATCAGGATGTGTACAATGTCCCAGGACATAACAGTAATTACACTAAATAGAATCAATAGACTAGGTAAGGAAGCATTTTCCTAATTCAATAAAAACATTTAATTATTCAAAACTGAAATAATTTGTTATTTTGATTAGTTGTATACTAATAGTAATAATTATAACAACCAATAAAAACTTTCGCACCTAAAACCACAGTACATAAGAGGATTCCATAAGTCAGGGTTTCTCAACAGCACATGATGACATTTGGGGTGGTTATTTCCATGTTGTGGGGGGTTGTTTTGTGCAGTGAACCATGTTTTGCAGCATTACTAGCTTCCTTCTGTGAGACATCAGTGAAACCCTGCTCCCCATTTATGATACCAAAAATATCTCCAGCCAGTATAACACAAAATTTCAACTCAAAAAACAGATGATGATTCGTATTAAGTACTGGATTCCAATTAATTCTACTGGATACATGTCAAGCAGTGATAGTTAGTATAAAATGATAATTTACAATACACTGGAAATTACATTATTTGCCGTTATTTAAAATCATGGTCAAGAACTCTGAATAATTGTTTATGATCCATTAGTCCAAAGCGTCCTTAGTTTATAGGAAAGGTGAAGGATGTACATTTAAACTCACTCACTGATCTTTTCTCAATCCCTACTATGGTACATTAGAACAATGAGTTTATCTCACATGCTTTTAAGGCACCTCCCCCCCTTACTATCTTGACAAACATCCAGAAAAATTAACTGAAAAGAGCATCAGAGCTTTTTAAGTAAATACTAGGTGCAAAGCAAGCATTTTCAAAATTAAAACTGTATAGATTAGTATCCTTTTTTAACTTTCACCCTTTAAATGATATTATACAATTTGAAGGCATAATCCACAGCAGTTTATAAACTCCACAGTTCTTTTCCATAGAGAGAAGCATTGCCTCTTTAATCCTCTTACTAGACACCAAAATAGTCTCCAATTCCCTCAGGACTGTTTACTGGCAAGAATGCCAATCATTAGTTCTAACTATGAATATAAAAACTTCTGTGGTTTTTCTATAGTTTTAAAGCAATTCCATACATACTATCTAGTATTATTAATCAAACAGATCTATGAAGCTAGTAGAAAGAGAACAAATATGCAGTTTAGTGATAACTTGCCTATTTTACAATTCAGCAGCAGCAGCAGAGGTCAGGTATCAAGACCAATGACACCAAACTCTTTATAGAGGAAATTCATTTGAGCTTTAGCAGGTTGACTGCATTGTATGGGGTTTGGAGATGCTTGAGGGAATTTAAATCCCTGCCAAAAGCAACATACAGAGCTCAGTAACAGCTGCAAAACTTCTCATTTTGTACAAGGCTTTTAAAGGCCACAATTTCCAAGTTGCATATAATATTAACAGGTAAAAACCAATCTTTGTTGCACGTATTTATTAAGCTGCCTAAAGATTTTTTTCAAAGTATGAATTCTTACATCACAAAAGACAAAAACATAAATCTCACCAATATTTTTCGAGAAAGGACGACTGTTATAAAACAATACAGATAATTCAGACAAATAAATTTGTTATCTCAGCATTGTCTCTGTAAAGAGTCTATCCATACATGCTAGTTACTATAATCTTCCTAATTTTTCAACCCCTAAAATTAATTCAGTAAAGACATAAGGATAGTTAATAAGCAATCAGATATTACCTATCCATCAACTAACAATCACTTCTCATTTTAATTATTCTAGAGCTACAATTAAAAAGCATTACGATTTAATACATATTCGCAGGTACTGCTGAAGGGCCCTGTCCCCTACTCCAGCAGAGCTCCGCCGTCGTTTCGCAGTCGGTGAGCGTCGGAGCCCGCCGGATGGAGCAGCAGGCGGCTCCGCGTCCCCAAGGCTACCGCCGCGGAACTCGTCGCAGCCCGCCCGGCAGGCCCGAGCTGGGCAGCCGCCCGTTCCTCCTGGACCCTTCGGACGGAGCAGGGAAATCGCTTGGCCCAGTAGCAGGAAAGGGTTTCCACCGGCCGGCTGGGGAAGCAGGCGGGGGGCCTGGGAAAGCCTGCCCCTCCTCGCCTTTCCTCGGCGGCTAGGGCGGCCCTTCCCGAGACACCAGGCCGCGTCGGTTCCCCTTCATCCTATTTTCCCTTAAATAAAGCATATCGAGGACTTCGTTCTTCTCGTGCACACTCAGGAAAATCTAAAATGCCTTCATAGAAGAGACGCCAAATACGCAGTTCCTAACCAGTCCACCGCGACTCACGCCCCGCCCCCGCCGCTGGGCGCGGGAGCTCTGGCCCCCGCTCCCCGCCCCGCCCCGCCTCCGGCGCGCGCCCCACCGTATAAGGCCGGAGAGAAGGCCGCCCCGCCCACTCAGAACTCCCCCACAGATGCTCCGCCCCCGCGCCGTCCCGAGGGAAGGGGGCTGCAGTTGGCTTTTCCAGTTCTTTTCTTTTCTTCCCCTCTCCCAAGACAGATCCTTCCTTCACCCAGTGGCAATGGGCAAGGCCCCATAAAACTCGACAATCACAAAAGACGAACTACTACTAAGTCTCCTCCAGAGCTTGCGAGTTTATCCCTCCCTCGAACGCTGGAGCTCCGCCCTTACTGAGCGTCCCCACAGCCGCCCCCACAAGCCCGCGCTTACGCTTTCCGGGCAGCGCGCGTCGCGCTCGCTCCGCCTTGCCGGCCCCGCCTCCGGCCCCCCGTCGCTCTCTCTGGAGAGTCCGCGAGTACGAGCAGGGGCGTGCGGCGTCAAGGACGCGCGGGCGCTTCATCCTTCCCACCTTCCTACACTGTTGCTACTTTTGGGTGTGAGACATCTCAGCTCCTCTTCCCCTTGCGTGAGTTCCTCCTCTCCTTTCTTCACGGACGCTCGCTTGCTCGCAACCGGCTGACCGGCGCCGCCGCAGCTCTCCCGCCCGGAGCGGGCAGTGCGCGTGCGCGCGGCCGCGCGCGCGTGGCCGTCGGGTCCCCGCGCTCCCTCCCCCTCCCGCTCCTCTATAACTTGGCTGGCGAGGGGGAGGTGCCGCCGGAGTCGGAGGGCGGGGAGCTCGGAGGAGGGAGCTGGAGAGTTGTGGGGACTAGTGACTGGGAGAAGTCGCAGCCTGTTCGGGTCGGCTCCTTCCCGCTCCCAGTCTCCCTCTCTCACACACCTACTCCGCCTCCCGTCCCGGCCGGCGCCCTCGCGCCTTCTCCCGCTCGGGGTCCCTGCGGTCGCTCTCTGTGCCGCGACGCGGTGGGGGCGCCCCGGGGTGCCCTCGCCCTCCCGGTCGCGGGCGGGCGGGCGGGATGTGGCGCCTGGTGCCCCCGAAGCTGGGCCGCCTGTCCCGCTCGCTGAAGCTGGCGGCGCTGGGCAGCCTGTTGGTGCTGATGGTGCTGCACTCGCCGTCGCTGCTCGCCTCCTGGCAGCGCAACGAGCTGACCGACCGGCGCTTCCTGCAGCTCAATAAGTGCCCGGCGTGCTTCGGCACGAGCTGGTGCCGTCGCTTCCTCAACGGGCAGGTGGTGTTCGAAGCGTGGGGCCGCTTGCGCCTGCTGGACTTCCTCAACGTGAAGAACGTCTACTTCGCGCAGTACGGCGAGCCCCGCGAGGGCGGCCGCCGCCGAGTGGTGCTCAAGCGCCTCGGCTCGCAGCGCGAGCTGGCGCAGCTCGACCAGAGCATCTGCAAGCGGGCCACCGGCCGGCCCCGCTGCGACCTGCTCCAGGCCATGCCGCGCACCGAGTTCGCGCGCCTCAACGGCGACGTGCGCCTGCTCACGCCCGAGGCGGTGGAGGGCTGGTCGGACCTGGTGCACTGCCCCTCGCAGCGCCTACTTGACCGCCTGGTGCGCCGCTACGCCGAGACCAAGGACTCGGGCAGCTTCCTGCTCCGCAACCTCAAGGACTCGGAGCGCATGCAGCTGCTGCTGACCCTGGCCTTCAACCCCGAGCCGCTGGTGCTACAGGTAGGCGCGGGGCTGGGCGGGGGGCGTCCTGCCGAGCGGCGGCGGGCGTGGGAAGGGGCGGCGCCCGGTGCGGAGGGCGACCTGCTGTTGGAGAGGCTGCGCCTGTCACCGGCACTGGAGAGCATCTCCGATTCGTCTGCGGATCCTTCAACGCCAGAGGGAGTGCGTCTCGCACGCTCCCAAAAATGTCTCTCCAGCGAGTTCCCTTCCGCCGCCCTCCCGGCCTTTCTGCTTTCATTTGCCTGGCTATGGGTCCACCGCGCCCCGCGACCCAGCCCTGGAGCTTGCAGTTCTTCCCGCGTGGTTTTGTGCCACTCTCGCGCTGCCCTTCGCCGTCCCCTCTGGCCGGCCTAACTTCGGCCCCGAGTCTTTGTTTTACTTCAGTTCATTTACCTGGCAGTCTTTCAAAAAAGCCCATTGGGGACCATGAGGTCAGCGAGTGGGACAGTGGTCCGCGACGGGGTTAATCCAGGAGTCCTGCTTTGGGCGGGAGTAGATCTGAGATGTGGGGGAAAGGGGACGCTAAGGCCACGCCGGACATTTTCATCGTGATCTGTGACCTGCCCTGTTCATCTGCTAATCAGCTTGAAAGGAGATGAAATGTTAGGCCGGCGAGAAATGGAGAAGGAGGTTCTGGCGTCTTACCTTATTCTTTGCTTCCTTCTGACTTTGTTTTGGAAGTAAATGGCCTTTTTAAGATAGTAGGATGGAATCTTTTTACTGGTGACAGCAAAGAAAAGAAATGTTTGCCTTTGGAGTAGTGGAGTTACTGCACACTCCCGGCTGTAGGCTGTAATGTGTCCTTGGATGGTGATTACAGCTGTGGGGTTGTGATCCCTCTTTGGTAACTCAGGAAAAGTTACTGTGCCCCCCTTTCATGCCAATTTTGCTGTATTTCAAATAGAAAAGGGGAAAAGTGACTCAAAATTAATCAAGTAATTTTGGTTACTTGTATAGTATAGTTCGATGCCCTTTCTGTTCTGCCAAGAATGTCACTAATGGCTGGAGAATTTGTAAACAGTGTCTTTTTTTTTTTTTTTTATCTAAAATGCATTACTAGGAATGTGCAGTATTTATTTAAATTGTTTTCTTTTCTCAAATTCTCCACTATTCATCTTAGCTAAAATTAACCAGTTTTGTTCACTCAGTTTGACCAAATAATCATAACAGATGTTTTGCCTCAAATTAAGTGTAGTCAATTTTAAGCTTAATCAATTTTAAGGTGTCATGGGACATATGTAATATTTTTAAAGTTCAGATTGCATATAATGGTGCTGTGTCTTTGAAAAGTGAATGATGTATAAGGCTAGATAAACTTTCTTGAAGAAATTTACTTCAGGCTGTAGTTCAAAAACTAGCCAGTCTTCCTAAGGTTGAGCCCATATTTATGACATATATTGACAGTTGAATTTTATTTTTATTTAAATATCTTTTCAATTTAAGAAATATAAATCTGTTTTATCTCTGCAAGGTTATTCCATTGAAAAGCTTTAGCAGTGTAGTTTGCTGAAGTAGATAGTCTGTCAAAAACTGGGACCCCACAGTTTAGTAAAGAACTATCTTAGTAATATATTTCCTGCATTTAAAATACTGGCTGCCTATTGAAAGATTTCTGTCAGGTAGTTCTGAGTATTGATGTATTAGGAACAAGTAATATTAGGACTAATATTTTAAAACCTGTCAAGTTCTTTATAACCATAAACTTAGTCATGATATCCGAGTTTGAGAAACTCTAGTATGTGATCTATACTGTTAAATCTGCTTTATCCAGGAAGCTTTTATGTTTTGTTGGAAGTTGTTTTGGCATTTTCAGTTTGTTTTACACTTGACGATTATGTGTTATTTACATCTTTTGCAATGAACAGCATTTTCAAAAATCACAATTATTTTCTTATTGAAAACTTCGTAACACAATTGCTCTGAGTGAATAGTTTGTAGTATGTGAGAAAATATGTGTCAAATTTGTAGAATGTTACATTTGTAAATTGCATTTTTAATTTAGACATTCCAGTTTTCAGGAATGGTACTAATACCACAGAGCCAATTGCATACCATGGAATACATATTTTGGAGTCTTTACCAATCAATCATATTGACATGTTAATTTTTTCTTAACCTGTTAAAGAAGAATAAGACTTTTTAAAATAAGAGACCTTCATTGAGCTGTTTCTTTCCTTAGAATCCCTTAATCTTTGGTAAAAGTCAGTTCAGAAGTATAAGCAATATAATTGAGGATTGATGATAGTATAAAATACTAAAATGAAAAGAATCTCAAAATTGTTCTGAAGTACAAAATTTTATACTGTAAGCCAAACCATGAGGTTAATTAACTTTTTGTTAACTAGGAAAACACAATACAATTTTTAGTATATATAAGTTTCTATAAAACTATAGTTTCTTATGGTATGTTAGGATATTAATTCTGATAGGAAAAATCACTCAAATTTGGCTCTCTACTTAAATACATTTTCTGCTTCATGTACTTTTAAATAAAGGGTACCAGTGTGTATTTTACAGCTTAAAGAAGAACTCACTTTTTTTTTTTTTTTTCCAGGAGAGGGAGCTACTTAATGAATTTTTGGACAGTTTGTGACAAACTAGATTTTTCTTGTATTCTATTGTCCAAAAATTATCTAGTTTGGAAATTAATTCTGAACTAACTTCTCAAATTGTTCTTATTGAAATTGTTTATAGTAAATATGCTTCCAGGCCTACATTTGAAAATCTCTTGACATGATACTAAAGAAAGAACCTAAGAATACGTATTAACTTATCCCATTCTCCTCTTCTGATTTTAAGAAACAATAAAAAATTAAAGTTTCTATTGTGCCTGGAAGGAGCTGTGAAAGGTATTATCTGTGTGATTTTGTGCAAGGCTGTATAGATTTGTAATATAAATTTCCCAGTGTGAAGGAATCGGTATGGATGTACACTTTTTTCTTATTATTGGATGGTTTTAATAGTTTATAGCAGCTTATAGACTTATTCTCTTAGGAATGTTTTTCTGACATAGAATTGCCTTCCGAAAAAAATTTTATAAACTTCAAGCAACAAGATAATGCTAGTAGTGCCTTAATCTTCTATTCGGATACCTTCTTTTTGTCTTCACATTTTTTTCCACTTCACCAAGAGGTATATTTTAATGCCAAGTTTGCTATAGTCTTACAGCAGAAGAAGAGCATTGTTGATTTTTGTATTGTGTAATAGCAGTCTTGGAATATTAAAAAATTGAGGTGTCATGGTAATTGGCAAGATGACAAGTTATTTTGTTGGTAAATTTTCTGTTAGTATTTGTACTTAACCTGTTCTTGAATTTACAGAGGACTGTGGGGCCAGGGAGGATTTTATGCTGTTTGGATTTCTTGAAGCCCAGACAGTATCTCTGACTTTGACCTGGTTACTGGAGATGAGTTTGTTTCTAGAAAATGAAGAAAGCTGTTGGGGAGGAGCTGAAAATTTATTTTACTTCATATTTGTCGAACTTCATTTGCCTTAAACTTTTTGAATCATAGTTTTATCAGGACTTAAATTTTATAGTATGTAACTATCATTGCTTAGGATATTGTTTTTGAGCTCTCATTTTATTTCTTATTAATGGAAAAATATCTGCAAAGTATTTATATAGGGCCCGATACATTGTAAGCACTCTATGACAGTAAATAAGATAAAAGTAGTAACTTTACTCATTTAGTGCATTTGAAGAGCTATTTTGAAGCTTACTTGGGGTACGGATTATCTTAAAAAATAGTGGAAATTCTAACTGTAAACCATACCTGTAGTTATAATGATTTTGCCTGGTCCTACCTTAAGGAATGAATTTTTATACAGTACTTTGAATGATGTTTTTATCTTAAAAATAATATTTAGAGTGACATATACTTTGAAGTGCACTGCTGAAAACACAGTTTTTAAAATCAACAAGGAAAAGATTATGGCTACTTAGCTAATTGTGTTGATTAGGTTGCTAAACTTTTTTGGTGGAACTCACTTTCCTCCCTGTAAATTGAGGCCATTTGGTTAGTTAGGTCCCTTCCCTTTCAGACTCAACATACTGGAGCTCTCAAATTCTTGATTTGAAAAATTATAAATATTTTTGTTTTTTCCTGTTTTAGCTGTTTGTGGAGTTCAGCTTTAACTGATGGATCCAATTAAGCTTTTCTAAAAGCGGGTTGTAGACTTGTATACAAGGTCTTTGCTCAGATGTGAGTTAGAGGCTAGGATAGATAACTTTATTGCAAGTCTTTCTGCTACCCCTAGATTTTTATATGTATGAAGTCAGATTAAAACAAAAAAACAGATTTCCAT